AGTGGACTAATCTCTTTTCAATTTAAAGTACGCAAACAAACAATCAAGTGAAATTACTATCATCAGATCGATTTGACTCCAACTGCTCTGAATTCCGAATTCAAACAAAGTTTATTAGAAAGAATAATAAAATTGTCCATTGGTACCAATTTAAGATGATTGGACCTAATAGATATTCAATTTTATGACTTTCCTTTTCGTGCCTTCAATCTTTTTTCTTAGAATTTGCATTTCCTATTCTACTTTTAATTTATTCTCTTGCGAAATTCCTTTTAGAGATGTCCTAACTCAAATACAATAACTACTTTGAAGAATCAGAACTGCTGCTCTTCGATTCTCTTTAATGGCTTTTCTGATGATAGGTTCTTCTTCAATATAAGAGTCATATATTTATTTTACTGTTCCTTTTTCACGTTGTATTATTTATTCGTGAATGTTACAACCCTGATTTTCAGGTTGGGTGTTTTTTAGAACTTTCAGCTAAACCCGGAATTCAAAGATATTTTTTTATTCATTAGAAGTTCTTTCTAAAAAAGAAATATGTTACATTAAATTTTGTATTTGAATGAATGACTGAGTGATATAACTGTTCCTATTACTTGGCATACATTTTTAAAAAACACGTCAAATTACGGTAAAAAAATACTGGCATCCAGAGTACTGTTACTTTTTACTGTAGAATCCATTTTTACTGGAACATATTAGGGAACAAAAAATCTGATATATCCTAATTTTTATAATAATAATTAACGTAAAATCAATGGGTCATTCTATAATTTTAATTAAAAATTACGGTATAATAGTTAACGGTAAAATTGGATTTTATGGATGATGCACCCGAAGTACTGCTACTTAATACCGTAATTTGATTCGAAATTCTTGAAAGTGTACTAAATAATACCTCTAATCAGGAAATAAGAAAAACTGTTTTGACTGTGCCGTAATAAATTCATTTTCCTTCAAAAATTATTTCGTTTTATTAAATACTGCTTTTTTTCATCATTGAACTTAAAATCAGGGGATTAAGCTAATCTTTAATATTGATTATCTCCCATATTCCGACTTGCCCATTAACCGTAGTAATTCAACTGATATTTATATAATAAATCCGAAATTTATATTCATTAATCACACGATAGCGTATTTAAATTTTTCGCAGGTGTGTTCGCATTATAATTTGTATAAGAGGACTCATACTTATATAATAGGTGCCGATCTGTTGAAGAAAATGAACTATTTTCTTTATAATAAAAAGTTTAATCTTTGTATAAAAATTAAGCTATCCAAATACCTTTGGAAGCAAAATTTTTAAATTTTAAAATTAGAAATTTCGGCTAAATTCACTTTTTAGTTCTGAAACAATACCATATTCTGGCATATGCTTCAGACATCAAAAAGCTCGATATTTTTTACCGAATTTCTTTGGTAATGATTTCGTTAAAATTTACAATAAAATATGGTTTTAAAATATGTTATAAAATGTGCTTAAATTTGGTAATTTTATCATGATTCCTTAAAGCACGGCATAAGAACCCTTTATTCAGTTAATTTTACTTCTCAGTTTCGTATTTTTTTAATGGATGAGTGGAACTGAATGTAAAACCAATGGTTTTTCGCGGGAAAACCATTACCATTATGAATGGAACAAAGAAGTCGATCGAATGGTTTAAATATTGCAAATTTTTGTTTATTTACTAGAATTATGTTTGTTTGTTTTTTCACAAGAAATGGAATATAGCTGGAAAATTTGCTAATTTTAGTTGTAATATTGTATCATTATAACTGCTATTAGTTTTTTTTTATAGTTTTCAGCAAAAAATGAGTAAATATTGTCGCTTGCAATAATTTGTGGCATTTAAAAGAAAAACATACAAGCAACGAGACCGATGAACGCAAGAGACAACGGACACGCACAGAAAAAATTCAAATGAATTTTCGCACCTTACATTTTCAAATGAATGTGAATTCAAAAATAATATTTATTACTGAAAGTTTTTGTTCGTAATATCAAAATAATTCTAAAATCAAAGCCTAAATCAAAGCATTTCGAAACCTAATTATACAATACTCTCACTGATATAATTTAAATTCTCCAAATAATATTATTACTGTAATACTATTTAATTATTAACTACTAAGACATTTTCATAAACGGGTTGCAGTTAATTATAATAGCAAAAGCTCCAAATTCAATGTAAATAAAAATAATTAAAATGACAGTCTTGGTTAAAGGTTAGTTCATTTTAACCCATTATAAGAAAAATCATTAAACAGTAGTCTCCGAAAAATGCTAATTAAATTTTTGCATTTCAGATGAACTTATATATCATATATTTTCCTCGTTATTTAATACTAAAGTAGGCCAATGGATGGGTCATAATATTTATTAGCTAGGTTATGGTTAAAGATGAATCATAAATTCATTTTTACCCAGACTAACTACCAGTTTAGGAACGGTTATGCCATTAAAACAACCTTGTATCACGACCACGATTTTTGCTTAATAACTCTTGCGTCGAACACTTCCTATATCCGGATCAACCGAAGTTGTAATCAATAACTGATTTTTCCTGCTAGACAGATAATAAACATTACTAATCCTATCCCTTAAGCTATATTTTATCATTTGTATAAAAAAAAGTTTACAAATTTAATTAACACTTTTGATAGTTTCTTGATTTATATATTTTTACATTTTATATCTGACATACATATTGTGGACTCGTATAAACTTAATTCTTCGGTGTAGAATTTTTTTAATTTAACATATTTTTAATGATTATTTCATTACCTTAGATTAATTTAGATTAATAAAACTAAATTGAAAAATATTATATTTAACATTTTAGTAATTTTTGGTTATGAAATACAGCATGAAACACATGTGACTTTTCCTGAATTTAAAGGTAAAATCTTCCCAATACTGATCACTTCCAATCTATAATTTTTCAAATTTGCACTTATTTGCAGTTATTTAGAGCTAGGAGAAACTGTTATTCATCATTGAAACTTCTTATTGTACAAAATAATTTATTGATAAATTTTTGAATATGAACGTAAAAACAATTAATCAAACTACTTTTTTGGATTTGATATTTTAGTACAAATATAATTGCTATACTCTAACAGATTGTTTAAGAACTATTAAACTATTTTTTTTTAAATTGAAAAATACCAAAATACATTAGACCGTCAGAATAAAAATATATAAATGGACATCGGTGCCAAAAGGTAAAATCCATTTTATTTCTGATTATTAAGCATTTTACTGGAAAGCTTAGACAATTTTTGAATTACATATAAGATATATTTCAAAACAGTAATGCGTTTTATTTCTACTCTGATAGAAATTTTGAGGTTCTATAATATCATTTAAAATTGCGGCAACCGTGCTACCGAGTAAAGTTGTACCAGATTCAATCAATCCTCATTAAATTTGATTGCACTATACCTTGGTTCAACCTGAACAAAACATGGTTCACTTTATCTAAATCTAGATTTAAAAATAGTCTTTTAATTAAATCAATTTTAATTTAATGTTATTAAGCTATATTCATGTTCAACCTGAATGGAAATATGAAACATTTAAAAAATATTAAGGTTGCAGGAATATTGGGATTGTATTTCAAGTTTAAATGTGAAAAAAAGTAAGGATGCGCCAAAATTTGCTAGGTACAAAAAATTAAATTAGGGCAATAGTAGTTAAGCTGTTAATCGCAATATGGGCATTGAAAATATTCGAAGCTTTGGATTCCTTGTTTGCTGACACACTCTCAGAAATAAAATTCTTCTTCTTAAAGATCCAGCTGTACTTGAGCTGTATTTCGTAAATTTTGAGAACCCTTTTGTCACGAAATAACGAGATTTGTGATTGGGAATTAGGAAAAAAAATTCATCAAATAAATTATAAGATTCGTTTATCCAAAGATAATCCTATGCAAGAAAAAAAGTTTTAGTATGCATTTAGTACATTGTATTATTTTATTTAATAATAGTCGAAAAAATTTCGAAGTGTAAGGTATATAATTTCTTACAAAATTTTAAAGTATGTAATTTTACATGGCAAGTGAAATACAAAATTTGAGCGAAATCGGTTGAGTAAATTCTGAGAAATCGAATTTTTAAAAAATGATAAATATTTAATAATTTTTTTTTCCGTAGACATATCATTGGATAAAAGGAATTTTATTATTGTGGGCAAAACTTTTTAAATTCGCGTAAAAAGTTCTCGCGATATGGTGAAATACGCAAAAACTAAAATTAACATTAGGGGGTCCAAACTTTGGATCACACTCCTAACCAAACTATGAGGACCATATTGCCCAGATTGCGGTTACCCCCTATAATTTGGATTACAAAAGCTAACAATAACAAGAAAATAATTGTCTTAAGATAGGCAATTTCCACCGTTAATTTAAAAATAACTATCGGATTTATAGTAACATCTATTATTTTTCGTCAAAAAAAGCAATCGACGATTTTTTTTAAAAATTTTTATAATCACAGAAAAAGTTAAAAGCAAATTCATTAACAGCTTTTTAACACACCATTACTAAGAAACATTATCGATGTGAATTGAATGCATAAAAGATAAATTACCTCTACCAACAGGCAATGAGTAGTTCATATTTTCATTATATTTCAATAAATTTACGAAAATCATTTATATGGTTTTTGTTTTGGTCAAATCTTAAAGTCTTTTAAAAACACTTAAGCTTTAAACTAGTTAAACACTTTATAAAAATTAGTTTGCATCATTGATTTTCCTGAGCTAAGATTTCGATCGGTTTAAAATGCGGAACTAAAGAAAGTGAATTCTGTCATTCATTAAAAATGAGATCTGAAACTACTGGAAAATCCTACCGCATTTCTGCCCCAACAGAAAGAGTGCTAAGAAATCAAAACCGAAACAGCTTTTTCACAACCACCCATTCAATAAACACTTATGAGAACAGGAAATGACGTTTACCATTCGCATTCTGACGTCATGGTGACAATATGCCGAACGTACCAGAAGCGGGGGAAACAAAACATCTAGTTTTGCTTTCAAATCCTTCAAAGTCAATTTTTTCTTCGTTATCTTTTCAACGATAATCATTCAATTCATGTCGATTTGGTTGCTTGCAATAAACAGGCATGAGTTCCGTGGTTGAGTTGGAATCTCCTAATGTGCCAATAATCACAAGGATTTTTCATCTTTGGCCTGTTCTTGCACCTTTGCTAATTGGTTTGTTAATTACTACGATTCATTGGATTTGGTGGAAGTATAATGTGTGGAATTTAGATACAATTCCAACATCTAAATGCAAATTTCATGTTTTGATGACATCAGCAATTTTGTTATCTGTTTTTAAAAATACTGCAACTGATTCCAACGTATGTAAGTAAAATGCATTAAGATTATTTATTTTACATATTTTTAACTTCAGAAATTGTAATAGTTATTATCTTAGTTGGTTTTCATTATTCATGTTATGCTGTAAAATTTGTTTAACAGTTTTATTCCGAAGAAAATAAATAATTTAAGAGGTTGTTAGTTTCTTTTTCTGCATTAAAACTGAATACAACATTTTGTTTTCTTTGCATGGAGTAAAACTATACTTAAACAATTTAAAAATGAATAATAAAAATCAAACTGCATATTTTTTATCAATTTTTTTAAAAATTTATGCCTGATCTTTATACGTTATTATTATTCTTCAAAAAACTATTTTTTATCCTACGAGATTAACATTAATTCTCTCTTCTGTGCATGTTTTGAAAAGAAAGGTTAATTCATATTAAATCTAATTATAATCATGGTTTTCATATCTTTTATTATATTTGCAAAGTTCTAAGTCGAGGTGATGTTTGAAAGTTAAAGGAATTTTAAAATTTTCCTGGCATGAGAAAGAAATGTTAATACTGTCTAGCAAAAAATTGTTTTCAATTGTATGATTATTTTGTTTGTTATACGATTCATAGAAAGATTATATAAAGTATATTGCATTTTATAATTATTGTAAAATATGAAATTATAAAAAAGATATAAAGATAAAATAATATTTCGTGAGGACTATGACGGTATTTAAAATATAATTATTTTCTTATGTTTCCTTTATAAAATTGTGTAAAACTAGTTTTACAATGTAAATTTTTTTCTCTAAATTTTCCATGTTTTCTGTTATTAACTTTATAATTTCAAAAACTCTTAGGATTTATAACGGAGGTCAGCAAAATCAATTTATTTAAAACCTTTAATTTTGGTATTTTAAACTTTCAATTTTAAAAAAAACCTTTGCATTCAAAGCAGCGTAATTGAAACGTTTTTTTTTTATTTCATATCACAAATATAATAATAAAAATATTAGAAAAATATTTCTAAATATAACTTAATCTAACTTGTTTTTACTCTAACGTCTTGAATTTACAATTTAAAATAATGTGATTCATTGCCAAGCTCATAACTTTCCTGCCTTTTCACTTTTAACACATGTAATGACTAAATTAGAGTTAAGTTTTTGTAAGTTGTTGCTATTAGGAGAATGATAATTTATTTTCAACAAATTAGGACATTTCTCTGGTAAAATTTAAGTAAGTAATGATATAAAAGAGTTTAATAAGAAATTTGAAAGGAGATATAACTTAGAAATGTACATTTTTTAAAAAAAATCTTTTTTGAGCTGCTCCGATGAAAATAGCCAGGAATAGTTGTTTACGGTTTCGCTTACTACTCCTATTCGCCTTTTCATTTATTTAAAAAAAAGGAAGAAAAAAACATTTAACACTGTGTTGATTATTAAAGAGCTGAGAGATTAAAGGTTGTGAGTGAAAATTTTTGGTGAACTCGACTAAACTAGGTGTAAAATGTATAAGTTAATATAAAAATTAATTAATTATATTAATTAATTATAGTAATTAATTGCATTAATTATGTGTAATAATTACTTAATTAATTATATAAATTAATTAATTGAACAAATAGATTATTTACATTAATTAATTAAATAAATAAATTAACTAATTATATGAATAAATATTATGTCTTGCCTTCATTGTGTTTCCACTAAGTTCTGACTCACTAATTCAGCTTAACACTTATTTCAACTCTCCGGACACAATGTTTAATTTCTTGTAGTTTTAAATTTCTGCAAATCTTTTCACGGAAAGCTGCGAAAATAAAAAGCTAGTTAAACAAATTATTTTTTTATTGGCTAATAAGCATAAAATAAGAAACATATTAAAAAATCTAAATTTTTCTTTACCTATGTCATGACAAAACTTCTTCTACTAAGCTCTTTAGTTAAAAAGTTTTAAATTTAAGCACAACGAATATTGTGAGATAGTAAGATTTACACTTAATCATGGTTTTTAATCTACGCAGGTTTATTTAAATGTATTGAAGATTGAATGATTCTTTATCATTAACGTAGAAGAGACAAGCATTTTATTAACTAAAACCAACATGCTTGTTTTTTTTTAATTCTTTTTTTCTTGAATTTCTGACTTATGCGTTGTTTTTTATATATATTTTGAGCGCTTATCTTGGATTAAAATACTTTTAACTGTTCTGATTACAGAAATGGAATTTTATAATTAATTAAAATTTATAGTTATATGAAATTTATAATTATGTGTAATATATGAAATATATAATTATGCAAATCTTTCGTTTTGAATGTAATTTCCATGTAACGTTAAAACACCTACAAATCAAATTATAATGAATATAAATTAAATTATTTGACTATAAATCAAAAGTTTCATAATGTATATGTTGCTTTTTGTTAAGTCTTCATTTTTTAAGGAGTTCAAACTCTCACATAAACATAAATTAAAATAAATAAATATCCAATGGGAAGCTAAACGACCTCGAATTGCGAAACAAACAGAAAGGAACTAAGAGAGTAATGTAGCCTTCTTAGTTACATAAAATTTATTCAGGTCTCAACTCTCTTCAGCAAACCTTGATCATAAACAAAGTCAGTATTATTACTATTACAGTATGTTTTGATTCTAATCTCAAAAATAAATTAGGAGAGAGGTTTAAACCAGAGTACAGTAAAGATTAAAAGCTGCATTGTAAATTACATTGCAATAAGTAGTAAACAAAGTATAAAGATTATAAACACTGAAAAATATAAATAAAGGTTTAATAAAAAAAGCTATGCCTTCATTTTCTGTACACGTTTTGTTTTTTTTTGCCTTAATTAAACTGCAGCAAACTTATATCCCCTTTCTTCTTTGGCCAATTATTGTTTCAGATCATTTTTTATTGAAAATTTAATCTAGCCTCTGATATGTTTTAATTTCTATCTAAAAACATAAAAATATTTATTTTTTGTAGCGTTATTAAAACATTTCATCTACATTCATAAAACATTTTGAATACTTAGGGCGTAACTTCTATTCAAACTTATATTTCCTGGAAACTTTCTACCCATTAAAACAATATGATAAATATTTATTTTCAAAAATAAAATTCCCAAGAAAGCTGAAAATTTGTCAAAGGAAATTTCAATTACATGATTTGTATTTTAAATGCATAGTAATATTCACAAACTACTTTTGTAACGAATTTTAAAATCATATAAGACAAAAATAGTTTTAAACTTTATTTTGATAAAAAAAAAATCTTCACGTTTGATTATTATTCTTACGAATAAGAATAAATGCGTTATTTAAAGTAATAATAATGCTGATTTATGTTTTAACATTTTGAAAAAAATACTTAAAAAAAATAATCACTGAAATTCACTTTAAGTGCAACTTGAAATTATATATTCAATCAACAATATAGGTATGATTCTTAGATTGTAGTGCGAAGCCAGCATTTAAAACAATTTAAACGTGCATTAAGCAAGAATTTATAGAAGAATTCTCCTTCATTAATTCAACAGGACAGGATTAAAAAATATATAATTGCACATTTCTGGATCTCTGCACATTCTTTCGCTGGCCGGGTTAAAAACCAGTCTTTAAATATAGTTATTCAAAATTATAATAGCGTCATTTAAATTTTCTTTAAAAATTTCTTTATTATAAAACATATGACTATCAGTTTTAATTTCTTTAAAACATATTTATTGCATGCATCGAAATTTTCTCCTATAACGGGGCTTAATTTCACGTAAAATAAATAAAATAAAAAATATTTTTAATATTCTTAATATCGTTAAAAAATATCGAAATTAATTTGTCAGAAAAATTTATCCAAATTTTACCGCACTTTTCATTAATTTATATCCCAAGAAATCTGTAGGAACATTAAACAATACATTTGCCATAATGATCATATTCTGAATACTGAACAAGATACAAAATAATAGAAGAGGATTTGCTAAATAATTAAAGAATATTTTTTAAAAAAGTAATGCGTGTAAAGGAAGTTTGTGTTTAGTTTAATTATACAAATAATAAAATTATAAAAATTACGGAAGAATTCTGGTGCATAATAAGTTACAAATAGCTAAACGAAAATCATGTGTGGAGAACGATATTTTTTTAAGACTAACAGATTCTGTAACACGTTCCTAGGGATTCAAAAGGATTTTTATTAAACTTATTTTTCATACTTTTTTCATTATTTTACATTAATTTTGGTCAAAAATATTATATTTAGCTATAATAACTTATAGTTATGAAATACAGCGTGACACTTTTTCTGCTTTGCTGGTAAAATTTTCCCAATACTGATGTATCTTCAATACTAATAATGTAATTTATAATACTACCAATCTATAATTTTTCAAATTTGCACTTATTAGCAGTTATTTAGATCAAAGAGAAACTATAGTTATTCATCTCGGAAACTTCTTTAATTTACAAAATTATGTATTGATAAATTTTTGAATATGACAGAAGAGAAAAGTTTTGAAACTACTTTTTTTAATGTTATATTTTAGTACAAAAATTATTCTAGTCTATCAAATTTTTTAGGTAACTATTAATTGCTTTTATAGTTACAAGATACCTAAATACAGTTTTACTTGTAATTAGAGTTTCAGGAGAAAATATATAAAAAGGAGACATAGGTCCCATCTGCATCGAAGAATTAAGAGAATGCTGTAAAAACTACACTTTAACAATATTTTTTTAACTGCAGAAGAAAATGGTTTTTATTCAAAAGCACATTGCAAAAAAAAAGCTGCTTAACTTTCATATATTTTTATTTTCAGTAATTTTAATGCATCAGAAAATTTAGCATGAATTATTTGTGACAGTGGCCTTAATCTGAAACGCCGTCAATTTTGATTTTACACAGCAGGAGCTTTCATTAGATTTCTAAGAAAAATGAACGTCGTGTTTTCTGAAATGTGTTTAATATTTTGGTAAAGAGTATTAAAAAAAGCATTAGGTAAATTTAATTTATTACTTTGAACTTAGTTTGATGACATGCTA